ATATATATATATATGGTGTGCATTGATCTTATGAGATATGATGTGCTTTGTCTTTTTTATTGATTGTAGGTGACAAAAACAACATGCGTTAATGTAGATATGTGACAACGGTGAGAGGGTCATATTTGGATAATGGTGGTCGGGGGATCTTAATTGAGCAACTGTGGTGCAATGATGGCGGTTGGGTGTTGATCTGGAGATAATAGATGGGCGGTGTTTTGATGGTGGTGTTCATGTGGTGTTTTGATGACACTGGTTGAGCGGTAGCTTAACAATGGCAATTGGGTTGTTATTTGAAGTTGGCAATTTGGAAGTGGTATGAAAATACTCATTGAATAGTGATCAGATTGTAGTGAGCAGCAATGTCTGCCAGTGGCAATCAAACAATGCTTCGATAATGGCAGTTGGGTGGTGGTTTGACAATAGTGGTTAGGTCATATCCCACTATGACGGTCAGATGTGGTGATTAAGTTAAGCTTCAGGATATTTTGTGCCTCTTAGCTATTTTGAATCTTAAAATATTCACTCTTCAGGCTCCTCCTTCATGTATAAAATGGGAGCTTATTTATAGATTTTTGAGAATGACATTCCCCGTAAATATAGCAAAAATTCAAAATACGCTATCTAATTGTTCATATTGATTCCTCAATGATTGACCATTCATTTACCATTCAAATGTCTTAATGATATCATAATTAAGTGATGTTAAGATCATTGGATTCACCTGTTCAAGATACTCGGTTTCGACTATAAGCATGTGATAATTGAAAATTGTTTGATCATCAACTATTATCTTAAAGTTTCTAATTATACTTGAAGTTCTTGACCTAGGCTCATTCATACTTGGATTAGACCACTTTGGTATATTTGGATTTGTCTCCTCAAGATGTTCAGTCAGGCCATAAATTTTCTTAAATCAGAATTTGTATGATCCTGAATTTAATTTCACAAGTTTTCAATTAAAATATACATCAATATTCATGCACAATCAATATGATTTTTGATGATGTGTATCTATATATACTAAGGTGAAAATGATAGTCATTATAAATGCATTTTTTTTTTTCAAATGTTGCTAACTTTATGTTTAACTGAGTTCATTTGACACATTTTTCTAACTTAAATTTAAAAGCTTCAAATTTTAATAAACCTTAATCCCTTGCTTCATATTTCCATCATCCATATAAGTACCCAGGGGCTAGAGCTGAGATTGGTTATCATACCTCTTATAATATTGTATAATATCAAACCAAAAAAAATTTATGAAATAGTAATCAATATTTATAATGAAATTTTTTTGTCCAAAATACTAACAGATGGATGATTGATTTTATGTTGATGATGATTATTTTATGGATAATCCATTAATAATATTAGCCACAGAAAGTCCATCATCCATTTAGTATTTGGAAACAAACCAAGAATAAAACAAACAAGAAAAAGAAAGTGTAGCAAATAAGAAAGAACACTAAGATTTAACGGGGAAAAATCTGAGAAAAATTGTATAGATCTTCACTCTAACACTGTCCTCTTCACTTCACACTCATGTCTGCTTCCTCAAAATGCGAATATAAGAGTTTTCACAAGTTACACACCCCTTTAATTGAACACAACTCTTAAAAATGAAGAGAAAAACTACTCAAGTGATTCACAATGTTGTAATATTGTACCTGTAGCGCCTCAGTGCTGTTCTTTTTTCCATAAAGAAGATTCACAACGTATTAACTTGAATTTACTCGACCGAAGAAATTAACTTTTGAGTCAACAATATAACCCGATTAATCAACATTATCAGATTTCATTCAACACAAACATTTAATTCATGTTGAGATGAGTTGTGCTTACCTTATAATATACGAAATTATGAATCTCTTATCAACAAATTTTTTTGTAAAAATAAGATATATTCTTATAATATGTAAAAAAAAAATTATTAAATTATCCAATAAGTGAATATAGTTATATGCTTTTTAAATTTTGTCTCATTTTGAACTTTTTTTAATTTATTCTCATTTAAAACTCCAATTCTACCCTTTTGCAAAGACGATGGAACACTTCGGTCTTCGAGAGTTGGAGGACCAAAAGCTTTCCTGTCCACTAGAAGCGACAAGAGTCTCCAATTCAGTCATTTTGTCGAACACCTTATTCGCGGGAAACAATGACCCTTCTGGTTGCTCCCACCACCCTCAATGCGTGCAGCATCAACAATGTCGAAATCCCCGTCATCAACTCCTTTGGCTGTCCCGGTAAGCGATTAAGCGCACACCGTATTTGATTTGAATATTTCTTTTTAACATATTTAGCGGCAGTTCGGAATCATTTATTATCAAATAAGTTGGTTTATGTGGTGGTGGTGGTGGTGGCGGCGGCGATATTCGTCGGTGGGGCAGTAGCAGTGGTAAGTAAGGTAATAATGGCGGTGGTCGAGACACTGGTGGCAATGATGACAGTGCCAGTTATGATAATTATTTTTAAAAATATTCAAAACTCAAGTATTTTTAAAAATAAATTGATTTATTTTTAAAAATAAAAATGAAAACATTTAAAACATATTAAATAAATATATTTAAAAAAATAATCCCAAAAATGACCTTAACTTTCATTTTTCTAAGAATTACATGGTTAAGAGCTTTCACAACCTAATGAACATTATTTTTCTCTTTTTTACTAAACAAACTATTGTTTAGTTACGTTAGATTTGCAGATCATTATTATATTTCATGTGCAGATGTGATAAACATATTAATATTCAGCCAAACTTTTCAAACAATATGAGGCTGTAACTCAAATTTTCAGTAGCTTGATTGAGAAGCAACCACTGATATTTCTGGATTAGTATGTTTTTAAATTATAATATTTAGAACTAAGAGCATCTCCAACCAAATGACATTCGCCTATTTGCAACTCCGAGGAGAGTCCACCCAAATGGCAAAGGAGAACTCATTTTTTGTGTTTTATCACAATTATGTTCAGAATGTCATTTGCCCATTCGCAGTATTCAAAACAGAGATGAGAAAGAATATATACAGAATATTCTTTTTTTAGTTTTAGAAATAGAGTTCGGTTGGAGATGGATTATTGTTTGATATGAATGTTATTGTATTTTGAAGTGAAAAATAGGTTTTTTGGTTGGAGATGCCCTAAAGCCAATGATCTTTCATATTTTAACAAAAAGTATAATCAATCATATATTCTTGTTCAAAATAATAAATTTATATGAGAGAACAAGTTTCACTTGATGAGATGTATAAAATACTAGATTTATCATTCAAGAATATTTTTAAATGTCTTATCTTCAATAGAAATCACTCCAATTATTTCTTTAATATAATCATTTTCAATCTATTCTTTATAATTTTGTCCCAGATGACATTCTCAATTTTGTTGCATAATCATTTTCAATCTATCATTTAGAATTTTGCCCCCATATCACATTCTGAATTTTGTCGCATAATCATTTTCAGTCTATTCTTTATAATTTTGCCCCATATCACATTCTCAATTTTGTCGCACTCTAATTAGTTGATAGTGGCATCTTTGCCATCTTTGTTGGCTTTATTGTAGTTTTAAAAGTATAATTTTAATTCTTTATATTATTCTCTTATCACATATGGACATTTATTTTCATTTCTATTTATAATATATAAAAAATGCTTAATCTACTTCATCTAGATGTTACTTAGGTGTCTCATACTCTCATACAACTTGTATTATGCTTACTTATATCAATGCTCTCTCCAGTGAGTTCTCGTCACAACTTCCTCACATCTCCGATTGATTTTTGTCAATGCCATCTTCAACAAGCTGTTTTCATGAGAGTTTTGAGATTTTGTGGACCTTGAGTTCATGAGTCAAGCTTGAGCCTCCATTATTTTGGTGAGCAGTGTTAAATCTCAATATATGTACTCAACTTGAGGTCGAGCTAAAGCTAAAGCTTGATGTCACGCCCAATGGGGCTAGAGGTTTGGCTAAACCTCTTAGGCGTGACTTGATTTGTGGAGGCCAAATAGTACTCTAGAATCATTCTGAGATGGGGTCACACAACATTTGAAGGTTCTGGAAAACTCTGGAGGGTTCTATAAGATTCCATTTAGAAGACTCTAGAATATGCTAGAAAGTTTTGAAAGATTCTGGAAGGTTCTAGAATGTTCTAGAAAGACATAGAGTTTCCTAAAATATTCTAGAGTACTCTATAATGTAATAGAATAGTGCGGATGCTTAGAGAGTATTCTAAGAGCTCTAGAACTCTCTAGAATGTTATAGATTTATGTAAGAGTATAGGGAATAATGTGGAGTATTCTAGAGAACTCCATACTCATGTATTTTAGAGGGAGTTCTAGATTGTTATTAGGCATGAGAGGAGCGCTATATATAGGACCCTCCACCTTCATTTGTAACCATCTCTTCACACCCTCAAATTCTCCTCTCGTATAAATTTCCTTGTAATAATAAAGCTTTCTCATTCAATTTCTCTCTTTCTAGCCAAGCCTTGTAGGGTTTAAGGCTGCTCAGCACTAGGGAGGAGTGCTAAAGCCGCACGAGAGACTTAAGGAAGTTTTCTCCGTGACATTGAGCTTGCCTTTAGGTAGACGAGCCGAGCTAGAGTTGGTTATGGCTCGAGCTCTACTTTTACGGGCCTACATGCAATATATATGCACGCTTATTTGATCCAATCTTTGTCAATTTCATTCAATTTATGTTTGACTGAATTCACATTTGATACAAATCAGAAATGACTAGCTATTCAAAATTGATTAGAATTTGAACAACATTTAAATCAAATCAGCAGCCATGATGGTCATCTGGTTGCTATCCTTTTCCTCTAATGGTATAAAATAAAATAAAAAGGTTTGAACACTAAAATCACTGCTTAAAAATTCAAAATGAAGCCATATATTTCTTCAATTTCACTTCATTTCCTACATTCTCTTTGAATCTAAATGCAATTATGTTAAAATTTTCCTTAAAATGTTCAGCTCTCTGTAAGAACACTCATCATTCCAAAAAAAAACGGTTGTTGCGGCATTTAAATTCAGAGCAATTTTAATATAAAATAATGTGAAAATTCTTATAAGAAAAACCTCAATTGTTCCTCAAATTTGTAGTTCTGTCATACCTTCATTGTGCCTTAATAATAATTTGAAGCAGATTAAAAAACTTATTTTTGTACAAAATGAAACTTACTTTTCCATATTGTTGATGTGTTTTTTAAACATTTTTCTAATAGAAATTAATTTTTACCACAAAAGTTAATCAAAAGAAAATCAAACCAAACAAATTCTAAGACTTTCACTCATTCTAGTTGAAGTTTGAAAGCAAATATAACTAAAATGTTCCTAGTTCTAAATCTCCAGCACAAAGACACCACAAAACCTCACATTCTTTTCCATTTAACTCATATCCTTCACCACACCACACAACACAACATTAGAAGAGAACAAGCATCATATTTTATGCTCTAAAACACGCAAAGAAGGCGAATATAAAGAGAGAGATCTTCCTCATTCTCAATGAGACCAAAGAAAAGCACCCATGGCAAAGTTTCTTTTCTGCTCAAGATCTCCGGCGATCGGCAATCCATACTCGGTTAGAAGACAGTCGAGTTTCCACTCTTGCATCTTCTCATACTCAGCCTTTGAATATCTGGGATAATGCAGTGGCATCTGAAAGTTACTAGCAACACACTTCTCCTTCTCCTTAAGACTCTGCAGTTTTATAACTGATTCCATTCTTTTTTTCTACTCTACTAGCTTGAGATTTCTGTGTCTTTGATGAAGGCTTTATAGTGAAGAAGTTGGTAGAAAGATGATGAGATGAAGCTGAAAATTGGAAACGTGTTGGAAGCCAAAAGACTTGATGCAGGAGCAACATTAAGAGCAATTAAAAGGTAATTGTTTTGTCATAAATTTATTAGTGTTGTAAGTGGTTGGAGCTACTTTGGTTCCAGCTATAATGTCACTGGGGTTACTTTTTCTTAGGGTGCATTAACTGTCTTTTTTTTTTGGTCTATTTGAGAATAATGGATTGATTGGGGAATAATGCCGCATGATTTGATATGCAATGTGATTTTGTTATATGCTAAAAAGTTTAACAAATTAATCTGCTAAGTTGTTGAGCCTAATTTTTATCCTATAAAGAACTATATAGATTTAATTGTGGGTCGATGTTTATTGTAAGATGGTTGTGGCTGGGGGAGTTCCTCTCCGAAGGGATTTGGGGTCAGAGTTATTTTGTTATTTTTTTACTTTTTTAATTTTTTTTCTTTATAAATAGGGGGTGATCATCTTACGTGTGTTCAGAAATTTTGAAGCTATAATTCTTTATAATTAAAATTATAATATAGGCTTCGTTTGGGACGGCTTTCTTACTGCTTCTTAAAGCAGTTTTTTAGTAGAAAAAAAATTAATTTTTTAACTAGAAAGCTGCTTTAAAAAGAAATAAGAAAGCCGTTCCAAACGAATTAAGCCATAATCTACAGCGACGACGTAACTTAGCACTCAATTGGATGAATCACATAGAGTTGTTCGCCTGGTTTTTGAATCCCTTGACTTAATTCTTTCACCATTATTGAAAATATCATAATTAAGCATGAACTGATAACTAAGGCTTCGTTTGAAACAGCTTTTTTGCTGCTTTCTAAAACAGCTTTTTAGTACAAACATTTCATGAATTAGAAATTTTTGTACTAGAAAGCCGTTTTAGAAAGCAACAAAAAAGTTGTCCCAAACGAAACCTAAAGCTTGGTAAGAAGCTGAAAACCGACAAGCCTTTGTAAACTTGCAAGCTTTTCTCAGCTTAACTTGAAGATTTCTAAGGATTCAGAGTCATCTGCCATTACTAATGGCATTAGCTTGTTTTAGCAGCTACCAGAACTAAAACAATTAAATAGCAGAACCTTTTTTTTTTTTGTTTTTAAGGTCTAGAGAACAGTGTCATTGAGTTCTGTACATGGAGATTAAGAACACATAAGGAATATAAAGGAAGTGGATTAAATTATAAGTAATGTATTCTGATTTTGGAAAGATGAAAGTTATATTGAATAGGTTGGGTAGATAGTGATGCACAGGACTGGAGGTAGTTGAAAGAGCCTGTCTTAGGTTACAATGTGGTAGATAGAGAGTAACACCAACCTTTTCATGCTCTTCAAGTCTTCATGTTTGATTGCCTTACATTCCCCTGTGTATGGACCATCTCTCTCTCTCTCTCCCTTATGTCCTCAAGCTCACTGGCTGCAAATGGAAATAAGAGTGAGCTTCAAAAATATAGAGAGAGGTGCTTTACTTTTTTTGTTTTTTTGGAGAATTTTAAGGTTTGTAAAGGAAAACTCATACACCCTTCACAATAGAGGCACTTGAACACACAATCTCATGGATATACAGACAAAGCATATAAAATTTGCTCTTGTGGTGCAACATCCTGAAGGGCAAAGAACATAAAGAATGCATGACAATATAAGACAATTCATGCACCGCTAACAAACAATCAATTTGTTCGATGAAGAGCAAAGAACATACAGAATGCATGACAATATAAGACAATTCATTTCATTATATTCATACATGCATCAGTGCACACACACGAGTGTCAATATTGCACCTCTCTATGCCTTTTTTTTTTAAAAAAAAAAAAAACTTTAAATTGTAATATGCATGAAAAAATAATCAAATATTACTAATGACCTCATCTCATACGGGCTTCGACTTTCGCTCTACCAGGGTTTTCCCTAGCGCCTTCTCGGCGGCGCTAGCCGCTGCTCTCTTCACCGGTCAAAAGCTCATGAAAGTTTTTTATTTCCCTTTTCTCCTTTTGCGGTGCTTTCTGGCTTCTCGTTTCTTTTGATTCGTCAATGTCTGGCCTTCTCGGCCGGAATGATGGTGAATCGTGTTTTTTTGGATGGATCGATCAAATCTCATTCCTTCCTCGATGCTCTCTTTGGTAGTTCCCTTGATGCGAGGTTTCTTGAGCTAAAACCTACCTCTTTTCGTGTTCACAGTGGATTTCGGTTGAGGAAATACTTGTGCTTGCGTCTACTCTTCAATATACGTTAGTTGGTTTTTTTCCTTCTCGATGCTCCTCTCTTGAATCTATTCAAAGGTTTCTCTTCAATCTGAAGCTAAATGACATTTTCTCAGAAACTTTGTTGGATCCTTCGCATATTTTGATTAAGTTGGTTAATGTCCTGGACTATAGTAGAGTTTTTTGTCATAGATCTTACCTTGTTAACAACTAATATATGAAATTGACCAAATGGTCTCCTCTAATTGACATTGGTGTGGAGTCTCCGGTTATTCCTATTTGGATTTCCTTCCCAAACTCACGGCCACACCTATTCTCCTCCCTATCCTTCACGGTCTCAGTTCACTTTTTGGTCATCCGTTAAAAGTTGATAATGCAACATCTATTGGCTCCCGTCCCTCTATTGCACGTGTTTTGGTTGAGCTTGACATTACAAAAAAATATCTATATAAAGTCTAGTTCAGTCCTGAAAATTTTGGATACATTCAACATGTTGTGATGGAGGAATTTCATCCCTTATGTGCTATGTGTAAAAGTATTGGGCATGTACAGGGTGAATGCCGCCCACATCTATCCTCTATCCCATTGAATGTTGTTGTCAATGCTTCTAATCCTGTTAATATTAATTCTAATTCTGATAGGAATGTTGTTGCTATTTTGGATTCTTTGTATAATATAGCTATTCCTACCCTGATTGCTTCACCAGTTACTAATGGGGTGCTTAACGGTGATATTTCTCATGCCACTGTGAAGTGGGGGAGTTTGCTCCTACGTTGGTGGTCATGTGGTGGTCATGCTTTGGTGAACAGTGCTCCATTAACTTTTGAGCTTGGTTATGTTGGGGAGGAAGTTCCGGCTATGGCTGCCTCTTGTGATGTCAAAGATGGTGTTAATGAGGGTGCAAATAATTGTGTGGTTAATCTTATAGCTAGTCCTATTGCTTCACCTAGTTCTTTTGTTTGTGTTGGTGTTGATGTTCTTTTTGGGGGTTATGAAGTTTTGAGCCTTATGGATGGTGTGCTCTCCGATGTTCCTATTGCGAATGGAGATGCGGTGGAATCTTTTGCTTTGGTTGTTGCTTGTGTTGACTCTCCCATGGATTCATTGGAACCGATCTTATCGAATAGGCCTTTTATTGATGTTCTGATTACGCTTATTTCTGTTGTGGTTTTGAAAGCACAATTGGCGGTTAATACGAAGAGTATTTGTGTGGATCAAAATGATTGGCTTGAGGAGTCTTTTCCTCAACTTGTGGGGGTGATGGGGAGGATTTCCATGGGCTTGAAGATGCAGTTCATGCGATGTTCAATATGAATGTCAATCACATCATTGAAAAAGTTTTTGCCCAGGGGGTGGCAAATGTTGTAAAAAGAAGTCTAAAAGGAAGTAGTTCGTGTTCCTTTCTTTGTTGTTTGCTCTTTTATTGGTTTGTCCATTTTTTGTTTGGTTGGTGTATTTTTGGTTGTGGACTCTATTTGGTTTCCCTATTGGTCGTTGTTGTTCGGTTGGGGGGTTGTGTGTTGGGGGTTGGGAGGCAGGTTTGGGTTGGTGGTTGTTGTCATTTGGTGCTTGGTTTTGGGTTGGCTGGGGTGTTAGGTTGGGGGCCTTACTAGTGTGTCTTTTTCCTCTCGTGCTGTTTTTTGTTATCAATTCTCTTCCTGATGTTATGCTCCTTTTGTCTTGTTGTTGCAGGCTTCTCTGATGCTCGTCTTGTTGCTTCTCATGGGGCTGCTACTGACTGCTTGGATTGTCTAGCTTGCGTGGTTGATTTCGTTGGACCTCTCCTTGGCTCTATCTTATGTAAGTTGGCCTTTATTTCATGTTTCTATTAATGTTTTTTTTTTCATTTTATTTAGTTTTTTCTTCCTTTGCTTTTCTACTGTAATAGTTTGAATCAATGCTCGTAGGTTTTGTTTCAAATGATGTATTTTTAGAGGGTCATTGATTCACTAAGGACTTGTAATCTCTTATTTTATTTAACGTGTAGGGCCCTACTGTGAGTTTTATCCCGAAAAAAAAAACAAATATCACTGCATCTTCATTTATATAAAATATATTTTCTTGCAGCACCATGAAAATGAGATTATTTATATATTTTGGTAAGTTTATATAATAATTTTGCCATACATATCTTTATTAATCTTTTCTTTTTGCAACTAATATGATTGTTTTTTCATTAAAGATATTTATCCTATAATTAAAATATGGAGATTTATTTTATCTTACTTGAACCATTATTTACACATGAATCAAAAAGTAAGGTTAAAATCCCCTTTAAGGATTTTGCACCACAAGAGCAATTTAATTAAGTTGACTTATTAAAGCTCCCAAAAAAAAAAAAAGACCAAATAGAATGGAGGAGGCTAGAGTTCCAATATCAACTATGTGTAATCCTATAATTAGTTATTGAAATTAACATTGAATAATCACTATAAATTTAAGTGAAAGAAGATTGGTGGTTCCTATTAAAACTCTACACCCTAAAAAAAGTATAACTAGATTTCAAAATGTGACAAAAAAAAAAAAAAAAAAATTAAAAAATGTGAAAAAAAAAAAAAAAAAAAAAAGATTTCAAATGTGATGAAAACTAAGGGAGGAAATTGATTGTTTGCTATATTACTATGAGTCTAATTAAGGTGATCTTAGATGCACTCCATCAAAAAATAAATATGATTCATATCAAATAATCATATTTTATTATAGAGCATTAATCTTTTTTAGATTTATGTCACATCTCTAATCGGTTATCATAATCTTCAAAATTTGTTTATCATACTTCTTAATTAAAAATCAGGCTCATACATTTGTGCTGGATCACTCATCTCTTCACATGAACAATTACTTTACATCGGTATCATTTACGCCAATAAAAATTTATTTATTTATTTATCAGTGAGACTGACAATCCAAGCTAGATTTGTAATATCAAGATGGTATACGACGGCCGATGCCAAATAATGCATATCTATGATATATAATGGTCTTAATAAGACATGCATAAAAAATTAATGTTCCTTTTTTTATGCATTTATCAACTAATGGATGTAAAATTTAGTCATTATTAACTCTTTAGCTTCATAGTTGTCTATTCTTGATACAATTAATTTTGATGAATCCAATGTATGAAGTGCACATTTAATTTTATACCAATAATCCTATCATAAAATAATGATCTTTAGATTAAAATATATGTATATGAGTGGTTTGGCTCCACCTCATGAATAAGATATTTAAAATTTTTTAGTGAGCAATCCATAAATATCTACATAGATATTAATATTTTTGTGAAATGATCAAGATACATATTATTTATAGATTTTTCTAAGGTTAATTTATATTATTCAAATTATTTGTAATTTATTTACTCAAAAATAAAAAACACATGTCATCATGTTATACTGTTTGTGACAGCTTTCTTACTGCTTTTTAAAGCTGTTTTATAATATAAAAATTGTTTTGAAAAGTAATAAAAAAGCCATCTCAAATGAAATCTTACGTTGCTAGTACTACTGACACACGTCATCGGCTTATTTCTTTGAGCACAGTTCATCCATCTAAATTTTTTAAGGTTCAATTCATAGTCATTGAGAGGGACCAATTCAAATGATTTAGGTTTTATGAACTTCGTTCAATCCTTTAGTGCCATATAGAAGCCAATTAGGCTACTTCGTTGCCAGTTGTGAAGGTAGTGGCAAAGGAAGAAGCCGTTGCAGAGGAACTCCAATATTGCCACTTGTGGATCCGTTGCCGACCGTTGAAGCTTTTGAAATTTAAAATGTCCCAATCACAACAGTTAACAAGCTGGAAAATTTCGCCCAAAAAAAGAAGAAAATTTCATTCTCAGTAGTTTTAACCACATATGAATGAATTTTAATCAGTAATTAAGGACAAACAGATGCTTAATAGAGCTGCAAATTAAGAGCTCTAATACTATCTGCTTTGTAAATTAGACAAGAAAGTTTTTTAAGGAAATCATATTGATCTTTTTTTTTTCTTTGTTGAAAATGAGTTTGTGTGTTGCACATATGAAAATACGGAACTTTTGTATGGTCTTTCTTTAGAACTTTATGAGGGTAGATAGTGTATTAGATCATCTCCAACTGAGCTGTATATCACTGTATGTCGTCTGTCATTCACTGCATTCAAACTTTATATCTCATGCTAAAATTCGGTAGGTGAACAGTGCGACATCAATATTGACGACGAATTGTTTATCTACGCCAAAAAATTGGGCTGTCGAATTCGTTGAAGACGAACGCGAAAGAGGAGAGAGATTGTTACCTTTGTAGGAAGTGCGAAAGAAGAAAGAAATGCAGTTCGATTGGAGATGAGTTACGACATTATGAAGTTTTACTGTATTTTAGTATAGAAAATGAGTTTTTTCAGTGGGAGATGCCCTCACTGAGATCATAACAAATTTTAAGTGTCCAAAACATAAATATTGATGAAAAACAAACTTTTTTTAAGTGGTTAAAAGAAATAGCGAGTTTGTTTCAATTTATTCAAATTTGATCAATTTTAAAATAAAAAATTTAGGGTGACATAAAAATTATCGTACGATATATAAAAAACTATAACGATTTCACAAATTTTATAATCATATAAATAAACACTTATAATAGTTTGAATTGGTCATACTAGTCAGTCCAAGATAAACATACCTGTTATAGAGCCACTTTATTTCATGTTATTTACATATCTAATACCAAAAACATTAATATTATATATCTACCACCCTTATACAACTTTAATATCAAATATACTACTACTATAATTCATTTCTACCATTCATACCATCTTATAAACTTTAATATTTCATTCCATACATCTGAATTTGTTCTATAGGTCCTAGGCATGTAATATTAATGTTTTGAGTGTTAGATACGTAAATAACATAAAATAAAGTGATATGTATGTAAATCCCCCATTATTTTTATATGGCTCATTGTTATGCATGAAAAAAATTAATATGTAATAACAAATCTATCATATGGCAAAAATAAGTTATTATTATTTGCATCAAATATTTACCCCAAGGCCACATAATGAACTATGGATAGGGGTGTAAACGAGTCGAGTCTAGTCGAGTCTAGTCGAGTATTTGCCTTATCTATTGAAAGAGTAAGCCATGAATTGGCTTTCGGCAGAGAGCAGGGAAGAAGATAAGAAACTAGGTAACAGAGAAATAAAACTTTGCATTACTATGTCCGTTGGTTACAAGAGGTATTTATAGAAATTAAAGTAAAGAAAGTACAGGCTATAGCAGATATTACAATAAGAATTTAAACTAATGAATGCCACGTAGATGTGTAGCTGATAGCCCCCCTCAAACTCATGCTAGGGAAGTAGCGGTGAGTTTGTGAGAGAGAAGCTGAAATCTGTGGTTTGGCAAGGCTTTAGTGAAGAGATCGGCGAGTTGGTCTTCAGTGCAGATATGATGAACTGAAACTTTGTTTTTCTTGATACAATTCCGGATGAAGTGACAGTCGACTTCGATGTGTTTCGTTCGGGCGTGGAAGATGGGATTGTTAGCCAGTACGATTGCGGAGGTGTTGTCGCAGAAAGCTATGGTAGGTGCCGTTTGTGGTGTATGAAAATCTTCAAGCAGTTGGCGAAGCCATAAGATCTCGGTGGTTTCGGTGGCTAAGGCCCTGTATTCGGCTTCTGTAGATGATCTGGCCATCGTGTTTTGTTTCTTGGCTTGCCATGAGATGATGGAGGTACCTAAAAAGTTGCAATAGCCGGATATGGATTTTCTATCTTGATTGTTGTTGGCCCAGTCGGCATCGACATATCCTGTGAGGGTAAGGTTGGATCGGTTGAGTGGAATGCCGAGTGCGGAGGATCCCTGAATGTAGCGAAGTAGGCGTTTTAACGCCTCCTGGTGAATGTTGAGCGGGTGCTGCATGTGCTGACATAGCTGTTGGACGACAAACTGGATATCCGGTCGGGTAAGTGTAAGGTATTGCAGAGCTCCGATAATTTGTCTGTAGAGTTGAGGTTGAGCGTATGGTTCGTGTGATGTGTGCGTGATAGTGGTTTTGCACGAGATCGGCGTGGCTACCGGTTTTGCTGTATCCATTCCTGCACGCTGGATGATTGTTTTGGCATATGTTTGTTGGTGAAGTATGAAGCCATTCTTGGTCTTAGTAGTTTGAATGCCCAAGAACTGAGATAAATTTCCTAGATTCAGCATCTGAAAGGAAGCATGGAGATTAGAGAGTAATTTATGTATTTCAGTAGGAGAGTTACCTGTGAGTAGAATGTCGTCGACATAGACAAGCATATACATGCGAGTGGTGCCGGAGTGAAAGGTAAGCAGCGATGGATCAGAAGCACTGATGTGGAAGCCATAGTCTATGAGTTGATTTGAGAGGGTTGCGTACCATTCCCTCGGTGATTGTTTCAAACCGTATAGAGCTTTCTTGAGCTTGCAAACGTGATCGGGATATGCGGAGTCTTGGAAACCGGGAGGTTGAGACATGTAGACTGTGTTGGATAGCTTGCCATGTAAAAAGGCGTTGGAGACATCTAATTGGTGAATCGGCCAGTTGTGATGCAATGCGATGTGAATGAGCACCCGAATTGTTGGCGTTTTTGCTACTGGGCTAAAAGTCTCGTTATAGTCGATGCCCTGTTCTTGATGGAAACCTTGTGCGACGAGACGTGCTTTGTACCGAGCGATCGAGCCGTCCGAGTTGTACTTTGCGCGGAAAGTCCATTTGGATCCTAGTATGTTCATTGAAGAATTTAGTTGGACAAGTTCCCATGTACCCTGAGTTTGAAGAGCTTGAAACTCTTGGGACATAGCGTTGCGCCAATGTGCAGATTTGGAGGCTTGAATGTAAGTCTTGGGTTCGAATGGCTGAAGGACGTGAGTGAGATCAAATATTTTCTTTGGTTTTGATCTTCCGGCTTTGAGTCTGGTGAGCATAGGATGTGTTTGAGGTTTGGTGTGTTGTGACGGTTGTTGAGGGTATATAGGATCGAGAGTGCTATGAGATAA